ACGAAATTGCGACAGAACTTACTCAAGCTGGAGGCNTTATTGGGGATCATCAGTGTGGGTTTCGACGTAACAGATCAACTACAGATCAGATCTTTTACATTCGTCAGGTATTGGAGAAAAAATGGGAGTACAATGAGACAGTACATCAGCTATTCACAGACTTCGAGGTCTTTGATTCAGCTAGGAGGGAAGTATTGTACACTATTCTGACAAGAGTTTGGGATACCCGTGAAACTAGTTACGTTGATTAAAATGTATTTAAACGAAACGTATAGTAAAGTCCGTATAGATAAACATTTGTCTGATAAATTTCCTATCCAGAATAGTCCAAAACATGGAGATGCTTTATCGCCACTCCTTTTCAACTTTGCTTTAGAATATGCCATTAGGAACGTCCAGAAAAACCAAGTGGGACTGAAATTAAACGGGACACATCAGCTGTTGGCCTATGCCGATGTTGTGAATCTACTGGGTGATAATGTAGATACTATAAACAAAAACACACAAACTTTAATTGACACGAGTATAGAGGTTGGTCTAGAAGTAAACACAGACAGAAATAAATATATGTTGCTGTCTCGCCACCAAAATTCAGGGCAAAATCATGATATAACCTTAGGAAACAGATGTTTTGAAAATGAGGCAGAGTTCAGATATTTGGGAACAACGATAACAGATCGAAACCTGACTCAGGAGAAAATTAAGAAGAGACGGAACTCGGGTAATGCTTGCCACCTTTCAGTCCAGAACCTTTTGTCTTCTCGTCTGCTCTACAAAAACGTAAAATTTAGAATATACAAAACAATAATTTTGCCTGTGGTTCTGTATGGGTGTGAAACTTCATCTCTGATATTAAGGGAGGTACATAGACTGAGGGTGTTTGAGAACAGGGTACTGAGGTGAATATTTGGACCGAAGAGGGATGAAGTGACAGGAGGTTGGAGAAAACTGCATAATGAGGAGCTTCATAATTTGTACTCCTCTCCAAATATAATTAGAGTGATCAAGTCAAAGAGGATGAAGTGGGAAGGGCATGTAGCACGAATGGGGGAGACGAGGAATGCGTATAGAATATTGGTAGGAAAGCCAGAACGAAAGAGACCACTGGGAAGACCAAGGCGTAGGTGGGCGGACAATATTAAAATGGATCTTTGAGAGATAGAATGAGATGGTATGGATTTGATTGATCTAGCTCAGGATAGGGACCAGTGGAGGGCTCTTGTGATCACGGTAATGAACCTTCGGGTTCCATAAAATGCTGGGAAATTCTTAAAGAGCTGCAGATTTGGCGGCTCCTCAAGAAGGGCTCAGCTCCACGAGTAAGTAAGGGAGTAAATACAGCATCCTGTTGCACCGTGTCAAGTTGTATTCAGTGTCGTCTCACGTGCAACTCTCACTGAGATTTTACAATTGAAAATTTTGAATTTCTCTACTTTCAATTGCTTTTAAGTTGTATGTCATTGTTTAGCACGTCTATTGCACTACACATTGGGCCATATTGGGCCATCGTCAGATGCATTAAAATCGTTGGAGAAATTGCTGCAATTTTGTGCACTGTCCCACCTCATGAAGACAAGTTGTCCCAATTCTATGACTTACATTTAAAATCCGAAGTGTAATTTTGTTTACACGCAGCATTTGTTGTAGACTGCTATATTTTTGTGGTTATGTGTGTAGATGTTAAGGGCCTGTACTTATATATTTGCTCCGTGGACTGAAAATGAAATTGCCTATTGCAGTCGCTATGTTCCCAGTTGCTAACCCTCGTCCCTATGTCTCCCCAAACGCCGCATCACAGGAGTGTCCAAAGTTATGGTTATTTGACCTGTCAGAGGGCGACACCGTCAAACGGTAACTTGATAGTAATAACAGGGATTACTAGGGCATTCTTCATGCACCAAACACCGTGCCCAGAGACGAGAAACGTTACCAAGCCTTCGCCCTACTCACGAGGAACAATAGTTTACTACTGTTCAATCCCCGACAGAGGCAATAGAGTTTTCCCTTCCCCATAACGTCCAGACCAGCTGTGGGGCCCACACAACCACCTGTACAGTGGGCACTAGGGTCTGTTTCCCTGGGGTAAAGCGCCAGGTGCGTGAAGCTGCCCACTCACCTCCATCTAATGCCGAGGTCAAGAACGATGGAGCTATGACTCCATTCCTCCATACGTCTTTGTGGTGTGGTGCTTAAATAATTAAATCCTAGAAATAACTTTTTTTTTACCTTTATTATTTTGACTTAATAGCTTATTCAATGACATATTTCACGTCGTACCATACATTTAAATATATTTTCTCTCTTATTAGTATTCTTTTTTATCTGTCTCCCTCCCCATCTTCTTTTCTTTTGTATAAAAGAGCGAGAAGTATAAACATGATCCTGAAAATAGCTAAGTTGTCGCTGTGCCTAATTAATCATCACACCATGATCAAGTATGGGGAGCGGAGGTTTAACTCCACGCACTCGTAACCTCAGCATTAGATGCAGGTGAGAGATTAGCGTCATGTACAGACTCTTTGCCTTCAGGGAAAAGCCTCGGCACCCATTGTTATAGGACGATTTTGGAAGTCAGAGACATTTTGGACGCTGTGGAGAAGGCAGTATTCTCTTTTCTCTGTCAAGAATCAAACGCCAATTCCTCAGTCGACCAGCCTGTAGAGTAGTTTCTGTACAGAATGAACAATCACGGCCACAGATATTATCCTGAAGGCCATTACAACTAGGGAAACCATTTTATATTTAATTTAATATCTATAAAACTAGGCGCATGTTTTCACGGGAAACTTATCAGCTCATAAACTAAAATGTAAGCGATCGTTGTTTGCTCAGAAGGCTAAACCCTTCAAAACGCCTTATATACTATTGTGGTATTATATTTGTGTTCCTTTATTTTAACTAACTCAATGGAGCGGGGTCCTTCTTGAGAAGTTAATAGTCACTCAGCTTGTCAAGAAATTCCCCGCTTTTTGTGGAAACCAGAAGTTCATTAAGGTGTTCATAAGAATCCACTATTGATCCTTGTAGTAAAGTTTAATTACGTAATTAAACTATATTGAGTCTGAGAAGCTTCAGTTTGTAATTTCGAAACTTTCCCTTCTGTTGGAAATTGGAAACATCTCAGTGAAAGAGTTTCTGGTGCTATGACCTCGATGTGTTCCGGGGAAACAATGAAAGCCAGAGTGCTGCACGAAAGGGAAAATAATCATTTCGTAGGCAGAAAACTGGAACACAAGGTGTGATTACAAGACGACCATATGCCATTGCAAACTGGATGGAGCCTTCTCTGAATACCGCTGCTTTGATTTCTGGACCCAGAATCACTGGGTCACTCACAATTACTTCTGGATTGAAGGACGATTTTTTCGCTGTAAGTTGTGTGTGAAAGAAACTATTTGACTAATTTCTATATCAGTTTCGAACCTAACGTAAAATTATAAGTTAGGAAACAGATGTTTTGAATATGTGGCACAGTTCAGATATTTGGGAACAACTATAACCTGATTCAGAAGTAAATTAAGAGGAGACTGAACTCAGATAATGTTTGCTACCATTCAGACCAGAACCTTTCGTCTTCTCGTCTGCTGTTTAAAAACATAAAAATTAGAATATACAAAACTATAATTTTGTCTGTGGTTCTGTATGGACATGAAACTTCGTCTCTGACATTAAGGGAGGAACATAGACTGAGGGCGTTTGAGAACAGGGTGTTGATGAGAATATTTGGACCGAAGAGAGATGGAGTGACAGGAGGTTGGAGAAAACTGCATAATGAGGAGCTTCATAACTTGTACTCTTCTCCAAGTATAATAAGAATGATCAAGTCAAGGAGGATGACGTGGGCTGGTCATGTAGCATGAATTGAGGAGAAGAGGAATGAATATAGGCTATTGGTGGGAAAGCCAGAAGGAAAGAGACCACTGGGAAGAACAGGGCGTGGGTGACTGGACAATATTAAAATGGATCTGAGAGAGAGATGATGGGATGGTATGGATTGGATTGATCTAGCTCAGGAAAGGGACTAGTGGAGGGCTCTTTTGAACACGGTAATAAACCTACGGGTTCCGTAAAATGTTAAGAATTTCTTGACTAGCTGTAAAATTAGCAGCTCCTCCAGAAGGGCTCAGCTCCATGAGTAAGTAAGTATACATATTTATTGGGCTATGTTTTCGGAACTGTACAGATCCTTTAAACTTCTGTGAACATTATAATTACACATTACAGTATTACGTATGTAATTTTTCACTGCGAATGAATATGTCTCCACTTGGAAGCTTCTCCGACATTCGGCTTTTGTCTCTCACTTTCGGAGATTCTTTAATGCTCTGTGGGAAACGGGCGACTCATTTCTTCGCAGTTACGGTGGACATTTGTTATACAGATCTTTCGAGGATTGGCTCTATTGTCATTTTCTGATGGTTGGCTGTCGTACTAACATAACTATTTTTTTTTCTATTTCCATTGTTAGTATTAGCGTCAACGAGGGATTACTTGGTCGGTACAGCGACTGTCTACGGGCTATACGACCGAGGAGTTGGGGTTCGAATCCCGGTAGTGGTAAAATTTTTCTATCCTGCAAGTCGTCCAGACCGATTCTGGGACCTATCCAGCCTCTTTTTCAGTGCGCAACGGGGCTCTTCCCCCCGGGGGTAAAGCGGTTGGGGCTGATCACTCACCCCAATTACTGCCGAGTTTAAGAACACGTGGATCTATATATCCGTTCCCATATACGCCTTCTTGGCATAGTGCTTAATTAGTTCAGCAGAAGGAGAACTTTCTTTTTATTGGTAACTCTGGGGCTTGAAGTCGGTACCCTTTTTAATTTTAAACCTTAATCGTATCACGTACCAGTCGAGAATAGTGTAATGTCTCTTTTATTCCGCGCTTGGTCCTCGATTCCACATGTAATGACAGTTTCTCTGAAACAAGGGAGGAAAGTGGTTAGACGAATAATATTCAACTCCCCCACACCATGTGACATGTTTGCTTTTGCCCCTCAGGTGTGTCCATATTACTGACATCGGTGTGGGTTACATATCGACCATGTTATCGTTGTCTGCCCTGTTCCTTCGGTGGTGTTCCCAGGTTCGTGATTTCGGACTGCAGCATCTCTGTGGCATGAGGAATCTGCAGGTCCTGTCTCTTGCAGGTAAGTTGGCCACCTGATGACCACTTTCTTTTAATGAACAGCAACTAATTTATAGATATACGAATATGGTAGTATCTGGACCCAAGAGGGATGAAGTGACAGGAGGTTGGAGAAAACTGCATAATGAGGAGCTTCATAACTTGTGCTCTTCTCCAAGTATAATTACAATGATCAATTCAAGGAGGATGAGGTGGGCAGGGCACGTAGCATGAATGGGGAGAAGAGGAATGCATATAGATATTTGTGGGAAAGCCGGAAGGAAGGAGGCCACTGGGAAGACCAAGACATATGTGGGCGGACAATATTAAAACGGATCTTAGAAAAATAGAATGGGATGGTATGGATTGGATTGATCTGGCTCGGGATAGGGACCAGTGGAGGGTTCTTGTGAACATGGCAATGAACCTTCGGGTTCCATGAAATACTGGGAAATTCGTGAGTAGCTGCAGATTTGGCTTCTCCTCAAGAAGAGCTCAGTTCCATAAGTAAGTATTTTTTTATTCCTAGTGGGGTAGGACTAAGTTCCTTGTACTGCGGCCACTTCTGGCATATTTTACCAGCCCCAGATGATAGGTGAGGGTGATTGTGAAACAATTGGTGGATTGAAGATTGGCAGGAGAAACCGAAGTTCTCGGAGAAAACCTGCCCAAGCGCCACTCTGTCCACCACAAATCCCACATGACCAGACCCGGGATCGAACCCGGGCCGCCGCGGTGGGAAGCCAGCGACTAACCGCTTGAGCTATGGCGCGGCCTCCATAGGCAAGTAAGTACGAATATGGTAGTATACAGGAAAGTTCAGCGCGGGAAGACAGGCATGAATCAGAGTAAGAGAACTGAAATCGGCTTTTTGACACCAGGAGCACTTTCGGATATTTCCATTACCCGATCTCATAGAATTATCTTTATTGTTATATTTCATATCACAGAGGTCCACTGACAACATCTGTGTACCTCAAATGAACTTTCTTTTAAATAAAAACCTAAATTTGATTTCACATTTCAAACATGCAGATTAAACTAGGCGTATTTTGTGGTATCAAATCTTTAAAGTGAAAAGTTTTCACAGAAAATTGCCTGTTCTTCTACAGTATACAGATATTTATGTTTTGTTCGGGAGCTGAGACAGAACTAGCTATCATTAAACTTAATGGAAGCCACTACTGTCCTCTACCAAGCCCTATAGAGTAGGTACCGCTTCCATCTGCATGAAGACGAAACAACAGCCAGCTTCCCAAATTCCATGCATCTTTTCTCTAAGAATGGTGTCCAAGGAATGCATAAATCAGACTTAGTAGTGTGTACTTCTTTTCAGTTTCGTTGTTCTTAGAGAAACCCACAGGAAGGAAGATATCAAAACACGTATCCTCCGGAAAACATCCGACAGTGAAAAAATTAGTGGACTGCTTTATAAAAGGGACGCACTTCGCCCTAAAACGAGTATGCTTATAGTACTGGGAGAGTATGTCGAAAGTGGAAGTTACAATGAAACTTTGCCTTTGTGGTATTCCGGACCTAGAAATTGTAAGATGAACTGCTAGCAATGGGAAGACATTCATATTTATTGGTTACTTTGCAATGCCACTTTCATACATAGTTCTCTTGTATGAAATTATCATTGTTTGATTAGTTACAATCTTCAGTTTATTTGGATGACCTATTAGTTTAATAAGATGCGATAATTATGAAATATCTGGAATATTTTAGCCAAATATACCGTACTGCAGGGCTACAATTGTAAACATAGTTGGGTGACTTTGAAAGTTATTGTGTTGTCCTTGGAGTACAGGTGCGTACGTACCTCTCTTTTTTTCCTCTTATACGAGTATTTGAATGAAGACACGGATAGGTGACGTGTTGGCTGAAACAATGTCGCATGTAATCATTTTTATTTCCAGTAATACTTCAATAATTGAAGAAAGTGACGTCAAGCTTTCAGAATTTATATTTTTATGATATTGATTAATTATGTTGTGTGGCACGACCAATTCAAACCACTCTGGCATACTGCAATGTTCTAATTTAGTCAAGCATTTGGGACCTAACTGGTTTAGAAAACTAAACTGAATTTATATTTGTGATTAATCAATCAGAACTTATCAACTTGTTGTTTTGAACATTTAAAGAGCTCCGTAAAACGAAACAGTTCTATTGGAATCGCTAATTTTAATGGGTTGGTATTAATTTCGTTTCAGGTTGCCCTCTCCTGACATCTAGCGGTCTCTCTAGTCTAATACAACTCCGCCATCTGCAAGAACTGGAACTTACGAATTGCCCTGGAGTTTCGCGGGAATTGTTTGAATATCTGAGAGAACATTTACCTCGTTGTCTTGTGATTGAGTAATAGAGATACAAAGCAAAAACTATTCTGAATGCCCAAAGAGTATGAAATGTCTTTGGTGAATTGAAGAATTCAATGTTTATTTTGTCTCAATGAATGTAGACTACGAAGGCAAGCTGCATACTTCGTAAGTACAGTGGTATGTGTTTGGTATATGTTGATTATGTGCCTGTGAGTGGCTCTATAGGTAATGATAAATATGATCAGATAATCAGTTACTGTTACACAGTTACGATGTTTATAATCCAGCATTCCAGTCTGATAGAAAGGTTATGGCAAAAATCGAAGCCAGAATTTAGATAAAATAGAAATGAGGCTAGATTTGTCATCTTTATAAATAAATATATATATATGTTTGCCTCTTACAAAGACTGAAAGTTGTTTTGTTAGTAAAATATGCTGTTGCTGTTTCACTCTAAGAACTGTGATGTACCTAGAGTCAGTAGTTTTCACATTTGCATACAACCACCTGCACCCTTATATACAGGCCCATTTCAGAAGCACTTGATCAAATGGAAGAACATGAATGCTCCCAGCTAGCATTATATACTTAGCTACTGATATTTTTTTCCTAGAACCCAAAATTTTGTTTCCTTGAATCCTCCATGTCATTAAGATTTGTAATTCCATGATTAGAATACATAATCTTGAGCAATACACAAGATACATAGATAGGGGTCACATTTCTTTTTATTGTCATGTGGACACTATGGATAACATTCCAAAATATAAAATTGTTGAAAATGTTGTATCTGTACAAAACACTTCCCTCAATTATGCATTGTCAATATTAGTGTTTTCATCTTTTGTCCATAAGTATGAATCAACTTGGTCTTCACTTACAATAGGATTCTAGTGCTCCTTTGTAATCCTGTTGATTTATTCATGTTTAATTTTAAATTTTGAGAATATAATGTTCATTTCTTTATTGTTGCTCAATAATCTCCAGTAATTCTTATTGAGACAGCCTACTGTAAATAAAATAGACACTGTAGTGTTCTTATTGTGTACAATATTGGTAGTATCCTCAAAACAATCTTTTGAAGAAAGAAAGATACACAAAGACGAAAGGAGTTATGGACGATGCAGTAAATTAATCCCAGAGACTAACCCATTTGGAGTTACTCATTTCTTACTTACATGTCTTATGTACTAAACTAGGAAAAGAATTGCAATAATGTATCACACAAAAACTAGTAATAAACATTCGTCACTAGATATTCTTCCTATTATCAGATTAACGCTCTCATGCTTTCTCACTTTCTGCTTTCAGTTTCATCTTGTGTATTGAGGTGGTTGGTTTCTTATTTAACAGTGGTATCAGTATTCAGATTATACCTGTATATTGTTGGATAACAGGATGATTAAAATGAGTTTGAGTAGTTTGTAGAATCAGATTTGGCATGGGAAACTTAAGTATTCAGAGAAAACCTGCCTCAGTGCCACTTTATCCACCACAAATCCCACATTACTTGGTCTTGGATCGAACCTTGGCCACTGCAGTGGGAAGCCAGTGGCTGTTGTGGTGGTATACTGCAACTCACCTTGACAGTCTTCTCATTCTCTCACACTGTAATGCCATTGCAATTAAAATAAAATCACCCTGGGAAAACATTACACAATGAAGATAAATATAGCACTCAAAAAATCAGAATGGAATCACTATTTCTGTATGTTACTCTCAAATAGAGAATTTGATGCCCTGATGTAAAGTAAAAAGTTGGAAAATTAGAGATTTGTAATGGTATTGCAGTAAATCTTCGATCTAATGGATTTTCGATTTAACGGACCAAATCCTTTGGTACTTCCCCGTTATTCTCCAGTTGATATGTCTGTACTTCCATGTAATAGTTTGGTTGATATGTCATGTATATGTACTTTGTCAGTCGTGAAGCGAAAGGAACGAGTATGTGGTACATAGAGCATTCTGTCACAAATTCAATTTGTGTTGTGCTGTTGGGTTTGTTCTGTGTTACAAATATTTTTTTTAATAAATACACAATGGGCAAGAAAAGAAAAAGGACAAACTTAAGTGTAAAACAAAATTCATTAATTGATTGAAAAATTAGAATTGGGAGTATCCATCGCACATGTTTGTCAGGAATACGGGAATTTGGCAATATCAGATGCCCCCTTCTCCCAATTAGTCCATTAAGTCGAGCATATACTGTATTTCCAAGTAATAAAATTGCTTTCCTGGTATTTCCAACTTTTCAGATTTCTTTTATTTTCAAGTTAAAAGTATACATTAATGTTCGTTTTCATTATCAGATGTACTTGGTGATGTTATTTACTCAGCAATCTATAATATAATACAATTATAAAATCTTTAAAAATGAGCATGAACACGTTTATTGTTATTCTGAGTCCACTATCAGATCATGACATCATGAAATGCACTGAAGGGGACAATGGGAAAAGTAAATATATTTGAAATACAGCTAAACTATAAGAATGTTCCACACTCTTGAGATTCAGAATGTGCCTGTGAGACTTCGCTGGTGTGTGAAATTTAGTTCACTTTGTGTAGGTGCCATACCCACCACAGATGGCCTTAACATCAGCTTGGTTCAACTTGTACAGATTTCCCAGCTTCATCTTGCACTTGCTATTTAGACTATATATAATAAACCAGAGATTACCAGATTCCTGTGTATATGAGCTTCTTAAAAAAAAAATATATATTTTCAGAGGCAATGCTACAACGGTTCACAAAGATCTATGCAGAAAAAGATAAAATTCCTTTTCATTATCTCAAGAGTTAATTCATAATTTAAATGATTATGATGTTTAATAATTCAGTTTTCAGGAGATATTTAAAAGAAAAGGATTGTAAACCAAAAACTAACAACAAACTCCATGGTTTTAGTCCGCAAGCGAACTATACCGAACGAGTGACCGCCGCTTCTTGGCAAAGTCAGTGCCAACTTTAGCAGATAGAGGGTGTCGTGTGGTCAGCGCAACGAATCCCCATGGCTGTTAATTTCGGTTTTAACCAAAAGAAAAATGATTGAGTTGAGATACAGGTGTGAAAATATACTAATGAAGTGATTATAATTAGCTTAAATTATTTATCCTTGATTCTTTTCTATTTTATATCTATAACCACAGTTGAATAGATATGTATATAGCTCATCATCATGGTTTGGTCACCCTTTATAATCTTAGAACTTCAGATCTGTGATGATGTACACAACATACTATAATTCTTGTTGCAATAATGCAGTTTGCGTCTTCATATACCTGAATAAGAAAACTATAGAATGTGTACTTTAACGATGACTATTTTCATAAAACTACCAGAAAGAATGCCTGGTACAAACTATTCTGCCATCTGTGAATTGAAGATTTCAAACTTTGCTAAGTATTTTTCTGATCAAAGAGAATTTTCTTATTCACACCCATTTTTTTCTCTAATTCTCCCTACAGCCTAGCTGGATTGTCTTATTGTCTGTCTTGGAAAACAGGGTTTCTGTATCTTACATAAAAATCAAGTAACATCTCTTAACTGCCGTTCCACCAAGAGTTAGAAAACCAAGACTCCTCTTTCAAACAATTAACTGTTGATTACAGGGAAATGCTAGAACACTGTCAGCATTGTAGCATCAAGTTTTCTTGTTACACAATTGAAACAGAATTACATTTCAGGAGATAACATGCCATGTGTAGCTGTATTTAGTCATTGTTTGAAAAGTACAGTTTTCTTGGTTGTAATGCCATGTAGTCCAAAGGAACATACTTCTCCATTCTTCAGGGTAAAAGAATAAGTCAAGCAGCTGGGTTGCTGCCCGCTTTTGCTTATTTCTTCCTTGGCCAGCTCTTAGACGCTGAAGATGGAGACGGTATGCTCCTCCAACATGTCAAGCTGTCTCCAAACTATACTGTGTTGCAACCCAGAGGACCATATATGATTTATTTAATGATGACGTCCATAGCTCAGACTACATAGGTTTGAATGGCAGGATGATCAAGAAATTAAAAAGGCTATCCCTGTAACATGCTGTGAAGGCCCATAGGGTTGCAAGATGTTGAGTCTCCCACATTTTCTCTAGACAATCAGCTTGCAGATGGCAGTGAGGTTGTCAGCCTTATGTGCCAATCGCCCTTTACCCCCCAGGAAGATTCCTGGTACTCATTTCTGTTAGAGGCTGAGTCGAACCCAGTACCATAGTGCTGCTGGAAGGATTAGGTAAACTGAAAAAATCCACCTCATTGGGACTTGAATCCACAACCTTCCACCTTGTAGCATAGTGCCTCAACCAACTACGCTACCATGTGCATGATTAATGAACTATAAGCTGGAAATTATGCGGAAGGAAGTGGTCCTGGCATCTGCCTGGAGGGAATGAGAAAAACTGTAGTACTTCAGATGGGATAGTTTGTGTCCCAGCAGAGATTCGAACCCAGCAACACCAAAATGCAAGTCAGAAAGTTGCTTGGTATTTGGGGTGGGGGGAGCAGGGAAAGCAGAAGCCTAAACGATGAAAAATTCTACTGCCCTTCTCAGTGAAAGACACCTGAATATCCTTAAATTAACATCGAACTTCCCAACACTGTGACAAGAACTATCACTGTTGTCATAGTTTTTAAACAGCTTTGTTTACATTTTTTCATAACATGTTTAGATTATTCTTAATTAATGGTCATGATATTAACAAGAAGATAGAAATTAATTTTAATTAAAAAAAGAAAAATAATAGGGTTTGTAAAATATGCCCCCCCCAAAAAAAAAACATGCCATTCTAAGCAGTCGACTAGTTCCCCTTCGTTGTCATGATCGTGGCTCCGAGTGTAAAAGTAAAAACAGTAAAGCTATCCCTGTGACAGGTCATGAAGGCCCATAGGGTTGTGAAACGTTGAGGGTCCCACATTATCTAGACAATGGGCTCAACGATGGCGGTATCATCCTTTTATATAGAATGAGATTTTCTTTAGAAATAAGTTGCATAACTCAGTTTCTGAGTTTCAGAAGTTAGCAGTTTATCGTATAAAACTGATATTACAGAAAGGAAGTTTCTTTTACCATGGCAAGTTATGACTAGAATAGAATCTACTCTCAAAGAGAATAATGAAAATTTACAATACTGACATGTGTTCATCTCTCCACCCCTTCTTATCAAGAAATGCCAACACAGATCTTCATTTTACTGTAGTTTTATTTTGAGAAAAGCAATGTACAAGTTACATTAGTTGCACTGTATGTAGTTTCATAGCACCTCTTTATATGTACAGTCTGTTTAGTGTATATCTGTTCTCTTTATCATGTATGGATTATCTCCCGATGCTATGTAAATATTGTACATTTCTTACTGGTAACTCAAAATCATAGGTTTAACAAAAAGCCAATAAAAATAGTTGTGTATGTGAAGACAGTATTTTTACAATATCCTGCCTACTCATGAATGTACAGGCTATTTATAGATCCAGCCTCTCAGATGAACATGAGAAGTGGCTGCAACGGCACTGTGGAAATGAACGAGGAAGGGTGATGTAATGTAACTAACACCTAATTATATCCCATACATATCCTACAATCCTTATTTCAGTTATCAAACTTGACCACGTCCACTGCGTAGTGCGCTAAGAATGGCCGAAACTGAAAATACAGGCAGTAAACACGATACTATAAAGACTACTGTATTCTGAGATGTGATGTGATGCCTGGTTCATGTTTCAGAGGAACATGCTTCAATCTAGTGTAAAAGGGAGACAGCATATTCCTCTGAAACACAGGTCAGCATTTAGCAGACTACATGATGTCACATTCCAGAAGACAGTAACATCCACAGTCGCTGTCATGAGAACCTGAAATATCAGTATATATGAAATGCATAGAGTAATTCCTGTTGTTGAACTTTTCTTCTCGTATCACAAGGCCCTAAACAATTCATCCCTTTCTGATACACCAGGTTAAATTCTGAGACATTTCCCCTTTTCTGACTTTTGGTTCATTTCTTATCCATTATGAAGATGTCCACCATGATAGCAGACCAAGACCAGATTCATTAATGCTGCCCTGCAACCCAAGGGAAATTAAATGAGTTACATTACATAAATAATACACAGCTAAAATTCATCACTCCCTTTGCATTCAGTCATCTTAAAAATAACAGTGTATAAAATTTATTGTCATAATAACAGATACATACTGTTAGCATGTATGGAACTTTTGGTTCTTCAGCGGGTGCTTCACCACCGACAGTAACAATGTCAGGTGTCTCTGGTCCACTTGGTGAAGTCTCTACAAAAGTTTCTGCTGTCACTCGAAATCTAACTGGTTCCCCTGCAAATGTAACAGAGGTATGTAAAGTAAAGCTATTCCTGTAACAGATCATGGAGGCCCATTGGGTTGTGAGATGTTGAGGTTCCCACATTTTCTCTAGACAGTCGGCTCACAGATGGCAGTAAGGTTGTCAGCCTTACGCACCAGCTGCCCTTTAGCCCCCACGAAGATTTCTCGTACTCATTTCTGTTAGAGACTGAGTCAGCCCCAGGGCCATAGTGCAACTGGAAAGATTAGGTAAATTGAAAAAGTCCACCTCATTGGGATTTGATCCCGTAACCCTCCAGCTTGTAGCATAGTGCCTCATCCAACTACGCTACCGTGTGCCCTGTATCTAACAAAATCATGTTCCCCCAAAAATTCTGATCAGTCCTAACAGGAATGATGTCACTTACCTGGATCCATGAACAGATCGTGTTTATCCCCATCACCTGTATTGTATTCCCACACCCAAGCCTGTTCTGTCTCATCAAATCGAGAGGGGTGCTGTAGTGCATTTGGAGGAATGATGATGTCATCAAAAAATCCAAGAGTTACTGGAAATTAAATTTCAGTAATCAAGAAAAGGTAAATTAGATTTACTGGATTCTATGAACCATCTGTCCAATTTTTTCAAATTTGTTTATTGTTATTAAATAACTCCACAAATCCTGTACAGGGGCTTTAGCACCCATAGGATATAGAGCTAATCAAACTTACAGAGTCTCATACAAAACATAAAAAGATACATGGTGTAACATTAAATCAAGCCATATCACAACAACATAGATTCATACACTGTTAGAAATACAACCTTTTACTTCTTACTACTCCAAGTTCATTCGTCACAATCATTAAACATTAATCATAAAACAACATCATATAATACTAAGTGATAAACATAATTAAAAAATATAACATACAGTTAATCCCATTTACATCATTAAAAAAATAAACATAATTAAAAAAATTGCTAGAAACTGGATATAACAAAAATTTACTCCTTTTAAGAACTACAGGATAAATGATACTGCTTTCCTCATGAATTTTACATTCTGTGTGATTTTTAAACTTCTAATTTCTATACACTAAGGTATAACAACATGACATTTCAGAAACTGGACAGTGAGCCCCTCAACCTTTCACCTGAGGACAGAAACATCCAATTTTTTAAATGTCATGTTCTTCAGTATATTAGATGATGGATAATGTCCAAAACCTCAGTAATTCCAAGTGTTATGTACTATCTTTAGAACCCTTTACAATTGATCAATTTTTAAGTTACTAATGATGCAAGATTATATTACATCAAGATGCATATATCATATACAGACATAATACTAGATTATTTTTAATCTTACCATGAACTCCATCACGGCTGCAGCTACGTATTTTTCCGATTATCACCTCTTCCATGAATGGTCTGAATACAACATATCGAAAATGAACTTTGGTATGGGCTGCTCCATCTCCAGGGAAAATATATGAATCTTCTAACCTGGTAATATCATGCAAAGCGATACACAAGCCAACATTCAAAACAACCTGTAAAGAAAAGTAGCACATATCTGCAAGCTGCTCGTCTACCCAGAAAGTTGTTTTCATCAGAATACGCGGCGTAACTACTCAGAAAATAGTACTGTTCAAAATCACCGTCACTAGAGCTCTAAAGCTCATACTTCTTGCGTACCTTATTAGCCAACTTCTTATTCAGCTCCTCTGCAATTGCATCATTTAGCTTTATGTTAAATATTTGTGGTGGTGTTCGAATAACATGCTTCATTTCTGCAAGAACAAACATTTTTAATACGGTACATCACACTATTTTACTATCCAACACAACCAAAACCGCGAATTTCCGAAGCTGTCAAAATTTTCACGTTTAGAACTCGCACTGATGGCTTCACACACTTTTATACCAGATGGCAGATCGTTCCTTTCCACCTGGTCAGCAGGATTGCCAACCAAACAGTGTCACTTGGTGCTCGGTGTCCCTAATGTCCCTCATGTATATACTTGTAAAATGTTTGGTTGATAGCAATATATTATGTATAGTAATGTAAATTGTTCGTTGACACTTATCGCTGTATTTATAAAGAAAATACAGACGTATTTACATTATGAGCAAGAGGCCATCGAATTCTAATTTTTATGGACAAAGTAAAAAGTTCCGTAGCAGTGCTTCATCAGCTTCATCAGTGCAGGTGACAGCTAACGAACGGAAAGTGGATGATTCATATTTTTCAAATACGCCGTCAGATACCGAAGCTGCACTTCTGTATCTGAAAAGTAAATTTCCTATAGAAAAGTTCGAAGGAAGATTACCACCAGTTTTATTAGTACATCAAATTTACAGCGTAATCAAGTGTAAGACGTTGGTGGACAGGGACGTAGTAAGTACGAGTATATGCCAAACGTGCGACTACATGATGTTTATATTTGCATGTATATTTGTAATAAGCACGGTACGGGGTAGCGTAGCTGGTTGAGGCACCATGCTACAAGCCAGAAGGTCGCGGGTTCGATTCCCGATGAGGTGATTGGATTTTTCAATTGACCTAATCCTTCCAGCCATACTATAGGTCTGGGGTTCGACTCAAACCTCGAATAGAAATGAGTACTAGGAATTTTTCTGGGGATAAAGGGCCGGCATGTAAGGCTGACAACCTCACCACTCGAGCCAATTCCCTAGAAAATGTGGGAACCTCGGCCCGTCACAATTATATGGGCCTTCACGGCCTGTTACAGGATAACTTTGCCTTTTTTTGTGTTTGTGATAATGTGTTCTTTATTTTTCAGAACTCTCTCCAGGCTAAGGGTGTGGTTCGTCTTTTTAAACTTGGTGGTGAAGAGACCGCACTTGTTGTCGTTTATTCTGATGAACTTGTTAATCATATTATACAACATTGTCCAACAAAGCCTGTGATTAATCGTTTTTTAAAAGAATTAATTCCAAAAGTTCAAGATGTCAGCATTGATAAGACATTATTACAAGAATTGGGATTTACACAACAAGAAATGAGGTAATCATATAGGCCTACATATGAATTTTCTGGAGTAACTAAATTGTAAAGCAGTATTCAAAAGCATTCCATTCTCTCTCTAGTGACCTTGTGCGTGCTGGTCTTCTGACACTGAGATCGACAGCAAGCTTTTGGTTCTCCTTTCCAAATGCTGGGGAATTTATGAGAACTTACCTGAAAGGCAGGAAGTCTGTTCTGAGAACAATCAGAAAATGCAAATTCAGTGAAATATTGCAATTTGTAAGTATGTTCATATAGGTACAACGTGACGCTTTAGGTTAGCATGTTATACATCAGACAGTCATAAGATCTTTGTTATGCAAAAGAAAATAATAAGAAAAATGGTAGGAGTGAGCCCAACTCATACATATAGAGGCTTATTTAAAAAGCTTGACATACTACCAATCGCATGTGTATATTTCCTCTCACTGATGACATTTGTTGTCACTAATGTGAATAAGTTTCAGACCAATAACTCTGTATGATTAGTACAAGAAGGAATGACCACCTTCATATACCTTCAACACATTTATCATCCTATCATATAGGGGTGTATTATTCAGGCATCAAGCTATTTAACACTATGCTATCAAATATCTCAGCTTTAAAAAGTGATAAAAATTAGTTTAGGTTTGTTTTATGAAACTATTTGCAAAGTAACTCATTTTCTCTATTGACGAATTTGTCGAGCATGCAGTGGGCTCGAATGTTAAGAGTTGATAAATGGTCTGTGTGCTTGTAGTATACGTTGTTGAGACTTGCTTGCTGTAAGTGGCAGTATGTATGATGTCTGTGTTTGTTATGAATTTTAATGTTATAATGAAACTGTATTGATGATATGGCTGGCCAATGTGTGTGGAATGGCAAGGTGCGCAATTGGGCAGCATAGAGTTGTTATGGTTGGAAATATGAGGGATTTTGTTCAGGGTCGAATGTGACAGTGGTTTTTCCAAGGCCTGTGTGTGTAGTCTTGACAACTGGTGCTGTCCGTGTGAGGCCTGATTATATATTTTATTGCACCAAGGACATATGTTGTGTAGTCATCATGAATTTGTAATGTGTGCCATGTTTTATATCCAGCCCTATGGGGAGGTGATCGGCTCCATGAAGTGAAAATAAATGTAAATGTATGGTAAACTCCTGGTTATCTGGTATCCAAATAAGCATCTGGAATTATAAAATAAGGGGTAAAACTGTAAAAGAAAATTTGCAGTTATTATGATATTACTTCAAGAAGACATTTTCAGTGGGTGTATTTTTTTTCTTCCTACCACTTTCCGTACTGCCCATTTTCCTAAATCAGGAAGATGCCATTACAGTTCTAGCAGTTCATGATAATAGTGGGTGCTTGTTGAATATGTGATTGTGTTGTATATCCAAAATGTTTCACCCCTCAATATCCATGCAGTAACTATAAGTTGTGCTGGTTTTCCTTTTGAAACAAAAGACAAATATATTAAAGACCAAGAAAAGGTGAAATTGATTTTATGTAAGTTGAACCTTCTGGCTTGTGGGAAATTCATGGTATTCAGAAAAGCCAGATCCACATATCTGAATTCATTTCACTGTGCAATATGTGTGTCTTTTTATTCCATTAGGAATTGGAGCAGAGGAAACTTGAGAAATCTGCGAAATTGGGAATGTTGTACCACATCCATGATATGATTGGTGCAGAATTAGTGAAATGGTATGTGTTTTAATTTAGTACAAGGAGAACCCTAAATCAGGGAAGGAGAATATACTCACAAAATCTTTCTTACTTTTTAAGTCCCTGACAACAAATTAAGTTCACTTCTCTTCATTGGTGGTCTGTCTTTAGGTTTAATATAATTAGGGTTATAACAGCATATTTATTCTACCATGAGAGCTTTCATTCATTTATTCTTATGTGTTCGTTACATGTGATTAGTAATAGAACCGACATTGGCATTATGTGCAAATCATGCAGAGCCAGGAAAATGCCCGTGCCATGAGCTGGATGTCCAGATAATCGGATTTTGATTTCTGATAGGCAGAGATATTACTTTTCTTCATAGAGCCCATATAGGCTCTGGTGTACATTCAACCTCCTATCTGATGTATATGAAATTCTATTTCTCCAGGGGCAAAATGGCTGGTGCATGAATGTAACCGCTGGCTTCTGAGGCTATGCCCTCATGCATCTTCTTGGCATGGTGCTTAATTTAGCACAAGGATGACATTGCTGTTAAAGTGATTTGGTTTCCCACTCATTCCTCATGCTTTTCTTAGACTTGAGATAGAAGGTAAAGTTGCTCCTGTACTTAGTTAAATAATCAATGTGCCTTCAAGTCATATGAGGAGTGGATGTATAGATCCACATATTCCTGCCCTCAGCACTAGTTGGAGGTGAATAGTCAGCTTCATGGCCCTACCGCTTTAAGCCCAGGGAAGAAGCCCCATGGTGCCCATTGGATAGGAGTCTGTTTGGCCCCAGAACCCGTCTGGACGATGTGGGGTACTAATAATTGTATCTCATTTGTGTTTCAGTATTGAAACTACATCTGGCACTCTTCTGAGACTGACCAAGAAGTGATTGTCACGTGCAAGTAAATGTGTGATAGTAAATGAAAAATTATGTATTGAGTTTATTATTAATATGAAAATAAAGTGTTTTTTAATTGTACAGAATTCTTTATGAAATGTTAATATGTTGCATGGTAAGGAAACCCTGTGATAATACTGTAAATTGAAAATTGTGTGCTGACTTTGTATTAATAGTATAGTGCTTTTTATTTTTTAAATGTACAGCCTAACTGATGGCCATTTTGAAACAAAATCATTTCGTAGTTACTGAATAATGTTATGCCAAAAGGAAGTATTTTATATAGGTCGCGCCATAGCGCAAGCAGTTAGCCGCTGGCTTCCCACCATGGCGGCCCGGGTTCGATCCCGGATCTGGTCAAGTGAGATTTGTTGTGGGCAAAGTGGCGCTGGGGCGGGTTTTCTCCGAGTACTTCGGTTTCCCCTGCCAATCTTCATTCCACCAAATTCTCCATCATCAAAATGATCATAATCATCCTGAGTAGGTACAATAGGCCAATCAGTGGCCCCGGAACCGATCAGACCCAGCTGGCCTCCACCCCGCACTAAGCGAATTTAAAAAAAAAAGTATTGTACATTGACGCAAGCATGCGAGCATGTGAGAAACGTAACGGTCACGGTTGATACTTAAATCGCATAGTTCATGCTAGTGCAGTGGTTTCGAGCGATTCTCTGACACGTTTCGTCGATCTTTGTATACCAAAGTTGCTCCCATACGCTACTGTTCGCTCTGAACTGCAGCCACTGGAGCAGTTCCAACTTGAATTCGTGAATTGACACAGTTAGTTTTCTGAACTAATATTTGGCGCAATGGTGGTTAATTTATAACGATTGTGTTGGATTGTGTTTTATTCAACGATATTGAATGATCTAAAGTGTGAAAATATTTAAAGAAAATGATGCTACAAAATGCTGAGAGCACTAGTAGTGCGGGGAAGCTCTTATCTGCCCCCACAAATCTGGAAGAAACTGAAACTGTTTACTCAAGAGTAAATTGTAGTTACAAAAGCCTTTCTGAAAGGTTTGGACTGCAGTCTAAGGATTTTTCAAGACAATTTGCTCATATTTATGCAGTACGGCTTACGAAAATGCGTGAGTTATTGACGAGAAGAGTACGTAACAGATGGGGTAATGTATAGTTCATTTACATTGAGGTTATGTATGACATCTTTAGTGATGTAATTGCAGCTTGGTTTTAATTGAAATGATAAATAAGTGATATGTGCAATAAGTTAGGTGAATTGCAGATGTCCGTTACACTTACATACGTGCGACGCATTTTATTTCGTCCAGGACCAGATGTTCGAATACGAAAATTATTTGAATTGCAAGAAGAGGGATCCAGAAAGTGTGTTATCCTTGGAACAATTTTCAAGCATCAGGAATTGAAACCTAGTATACTGAAAGAAATTAGCGAAGAGGTGTGTATGCACATGTCCTTACAATTCAGTGCTGAAATACTTGGAGTGTGTAATTTGGTACAATATTTTATGTTCTTAGTAGTGTTGAAATAGAGTATCTGCAGGGACTACTACTGGATTTCCTGCACCAAGCCGTGCAGGGGATTGAATCCCAGTGTAGCTTGAGCTATCAGAGACAGTATTGCATTCTTCTGAAATGTAGGAATTTCATTCATTCATTTCATTTATTCACCTTCCATGAATCCTGTCGAGAGTACATTCTCATGTGGATGTGGAGATCGTCCTAGTTACAGTCACAACTAAGGATTACAGTTGTCATCCAATAGCATACACATTTGTATAAAATACTGATAAACATATACAGTAATAAATAAGTTAATTTTAATAGTAAAAGTAATGGCAACCTTATACAATTTGTACAGTTTTATACAAGTCTATTAATTAAAAATTCGATAATTAAAACACAGTGTCATTAATGAGTTTTGTATAACATACATTAATTATATAATAAATTGAAATAAAGACTAGTATACAATAATATAAAGATTGTGTATATCTAAAATAAACATCTAAAAACCAGAACACAGACTGAATCTTGTCTTCTTTTTATTGTAAAGCAAGACAACTACTCTCATTTTAAAAAATATTTATAACCAAAATATTCCTATAAAGAATAAAAAGAATGAAAATATAGAAATTGTTTTAATTGTACCTCAAAACTCTTAGTGTCACTTGATATATCCTTAATATGTTGTGGTAGATTATTATAGACCTTTGTTCCTAAACAGTAAACTCCCTTTTGGTATTTACTCAAATTTACAAGAGGCTGATGGAGATTATTTTTCTGTCTGGTATTCATTCTGTGAATCTCTGAATTTACTATGAATTTGTTTCTGTTTTTTATCACAAAGAGCATAAGAGATAGTATGTACTGAGATGCCAGAGGTAAGATTTCTAATTCTCTAAATAAGTTCCTGCACGAATCCCTCCTCCTGCGTTCGAACATAGTTCTAATTATATTCTTTTGCCTTAAAAAATGTTTATACTTTGGGGTGAGTTACCCCAAAAGGATAAACCATAATTTATAATAGAATTAAAATAAGAGTGATAAACCATTTTTAAGGTATTTATGGACATGTATGGTTTAAGCAGTCTCATTATGTAGCAGACTGCACTTAGTTTAGAACTAATATACTCAGTGTGGTATTTCCAGCTCGTTGTGTCATCAGTGAGCATTCCAAGATATTTAATATTGGATATAGATGTAATTTGTTTTTTATCATACACAATTTATATTTCAGATTTAGGATTACTATTTCTAGCTGTAAATTGAATATAGTGGGTTTTGTTGAAATTTATAGAAAGTTTGTTTGCTTTGAACCGCTCATTTATACTATGAAAAGCACTGTTTATATTTACACAGAGATCATCATAGTTTGAACTTTTAACTAACAAACTAGTATCATCTGCAAATAATATAGGTACAGTTTTATCATTTATAGTTTTGGGTAAATCAAATAAATGAGAATAAAATAAATGAGAAATAACAATGGGCCCAGAATCGAACCTTGTGGGACACCATCTCTAATTTTGCCCCATGTCGAAAATTCATTGAGAGTAAGATGTATATTTGTAATTAAAACCCTTTGATATCTATTTCTGAAATAAGATTCAAGCCATAGTTTAGCTTTACCCTTTATCCCATAGAACTCCAATTTCAACAACAGAACCTCGTGATTAACACAATCGAAGGCCTTTTCTAGGTCACAAAAATGCCTGCTATTAACTTTTTGCTGTTTAAGGAGTTGCAAATTTCATTCACTAACCTGTATATAGCCTCATCTGTTGAAGATTTTGTTCTAAAACCAAATTGTTCTTCCACTAAAATGTTATTGTTATTTATGTGCTCAATCAATTGAATGCTCATACCTCTTTCTAATACCTTAGAGAACAAAGTTAAAAGTGTTATTGGCCTGTAGTTGGAAGTATTTGATTTATCACCTTTTTTAAACAGCGGTCTTATTTCTGAGTATTTTAAACAATCTGGGAAAATTCCTTGTGATAATGAATTATTGCATATGCGAGTCAAAGGGGAGCTAATGAAAAAGGAACTCATTCTTAATACTTTAGTGGATATTTCATCATATCCATAACAGTTTTTTGCTTTGAGAGATTTAATTATATTTTCAACGTCCTTAGTTGATAAAGATTTAAGTTTAATATGTGGAAAGGGATTTATAAAAGTTATCATTAAATACTGAATGGGAGTAGTGTCTGGAAGGTAACTAATATCAGTATTATTTTGTTTATTTTTTGCATTTTTAATTTCAGCTACAGGTAAAAAATAATTGTTAAAGGTTTCCGCAATTACTTGATTTTCTCTAATCCATTTTCCATCCATATTTTTTCATTATTTGGCCCCATATTAGTTTCTAATTTTGCTATATCCCATGTGGTTTTATTTTTATTTTTGGAATTTTGAATTTCATTATATTTTAGTTTTTTAGCTTCCTTAATGACCTTAGATAAAATTTTACAGTATTTTTATAATATTTTCTTAATTCTGAATTATTACTGTTTCTACATGCCATATAGAGTATTCTTTTATGTTTACAGGATGTTATTATTCCTATAGTGATCCAATCACTTATTTTATTTGATTTTTTTGGGGGGGGGGAAATTGGAATAGTTCATTTTCAAGTAAGTGTCTAAAAAGGAGTTAAACATTATATTAACATCATCACTAGATAATGTTGAGCCCCATGTTTCATACCTTAGTTTAATTAAAAAGTCATTTATTGTGTGTTTATTTTCCTTATTATTTTAAATTGTTTAGCATTTGTTCTCATGTTTATTGTTTTAAATGTTATGGAGTGTGCATCATGATCAGACAATCCATTTATTATAGGTCTTACAGAATAATTTTCCCTTCTAGTAATATCGATGAAAATATTATCAATGGCTGTAGCAGAATTTCCTTGAACTCTGGTGGGAAAATTTATTGTTCTTATTAAATTATAAGTTCTCAATAAGGTATCTAATTTGTTTTTCTTTTCACTGTCAAGAAGATAACTTATATTAATATCCCCACAAATAATATACGTATACACGTATAATGCACATATTGTGTTGAGGTATATAGATTTCTAAGTATTGTATCTAGTTTTGTTATGAAAGTGTCAATGTTTCCAGTCGGAGCTCTATATATTGTAATTATACAAAGTCTGCTGGAGCTCAGGTTTAACTTAACAGTACATACCTCAAAATCTTTTTCTTTACCGTATTCTTTTAGGTCTATATTTACAAATTTTAAGCTTGTGCGTAGATAGATGCTTACTCCTCCTTTTTCATACAAGGTTCTATAATAGTTTGCGCCTAGTTTATAAGAATCTGTGTTTAACTGTTGTAATTCCAAGAAATTCATGTGATGATCTGTAAAACATAATATGTGTGGGAAGGCTGGGGGAAAGCTCATTTGCTTTCCCCCTTAAACCTCTAATGTTCTGATGGAAAATATTAAAGAATTTTATATCATTTTCTTTTTTGGTTACTCCATTTAAGGAAATATTTATTTTCAGAGCACATTTATTTACCATAAAAAATTCTTATTTTTCATACCTGGTAGTTTTTTGAGTCTATTTGATTTGTGTACTGGTTCATTTTTTTGTTCTGTAGTTTTTACTGAGTCATTCATAGCTGGACACTTGTTAGCTTGTAGATTTGCATTATAATTTTCAGATTCCTTCCAGAGCAAGCAAATTGGAGTCAAATTTTTATTAGATTAAGAAATTGTCACACAGGTTGCTGCTGTATGTTTAAGTATTTCTTCATTTCCTCTCTTGTTCAGATGCATACCTTGTCTTGTAAAGAAGTGTCCAAGTCACAGTTCATTACTGTGATATGTTCATGACATTTCATGATTTTAAACAGTTTCCTGTTAAAGGCATTTATCTCATTATTTATGCAAGACCAATCTGCCAGGTCATGTCTATGTGGTATACCTAACAGAATAATATTAGTATGAGTATTATTACTTACAAAGTTTAAAATGTGTCTTAGTCCTATTTTAGAATTATTTTCTGAGATATCGTTTGCACCTCCACTAAATACAAGAACATTATAATTTCCTAAGGTTAAAATAGTATCTTTTACAGAATTACTTTATAAGTTTTATCAAGATTCTCTCTCAGTTTACTTGCGCATCTCCTTACATGGCTGTCTCCAGTAATTAATATAGTGTGGTTTCCTTTGTTCTTTGAAGCACTTGCTGCTCAATCAGCAACTTTCTTCTTGGGAGAATTAGCATTAGAATTGCATTAGCCTCAACGGTTTCATCACTGTCATATGAATGTAAGATGTCACTGTTTAGAACTTTATTGTTATTAGATGTTACTAGACCATTTATTATCACTGAAATGCTATTAATCATCTGTCCATTTGCATCATCCTTGTATTTACTATCTCTTGCTTGAAAATTACTTTTGTTGATATTCTTTCATACAGTTTTACTTGGTTTGAGAATTTCTTCCTTCGTTGCTTCAGTAGACAACCTCATTGAGGTTAGATAAATTTTCAAAATGATTACTTGTTGTTACATATGTTTCCTCTTGATCTTTTAACTTATCTTTTATCTTCTTTTGTTGATTTGTTTGTATTTGGATCCAGTTTTTTCACTTGGAGATATTTGAGATCCATTACCATTATTTTGTATGACACTTTTATTAGAACTAAAAAAAGCATCTGCAATGGTGGAAAGGGGTAATATGTTGGAGATTGGTCCCTTGTGTAGGTTAGTTTCTTTTCAAAACTGAATTTTATGTTTACATGGAAATTTGCCAACCTACACATTTTGACCCTGAAGATGGAGGTAACATGTGGCTCTGACACCTCACTAACATCACCCACAGTCAGATGGTATAACAACTCAAGAACACAATATTATAAAATATTACCTTGAATTTGTGTTAATCTTCTGAGGAGTTCTACATCATAAGTATCTTGATGAATAAGATTTTTTCTTACAGCACCAACTAAAGCCACAGCCACCAAGAACTCTCTTTTTTGATGACAGTGACCAGCTCATATTGGAAGATGAACTTCAGAGAATCCAACTTATTGGGAATTTGGATGTCCACTTAGTTGTAACTGGAGTGGTGTGTGCTGTGCTTGGTCATGAGGATGGTGATGGCAAATTTCTTGTGGATGATTACTGTTGGGCAGGTGTGTCTGAACCTGTACAGCGCCCTCTACAATCCACAGATGACAGGTACAATATTTTGAACATAATGCCTTTTGGAGATATGTACATCTGTCAAGACTAATTAGATCGTGGATCCTTCACTGATTTTAATGAACTTTGGTACAGGAGACCATTGTTTAATCAAAAAAGGTAAAGCTATCCCTGTAACGGGCCATGGAGACCCATAGGTTTGCAAGATATCGAGGCTCTCACGTTTTCTAGATAATCAGAATATGTTGTCCAGCCCTATAATAACTAGAAATGGAGTTCGACAAGGGGATTCCCTAGCCTGCCTCTTGTTCAGTATACTCATAGTATTAGAGATGGTAGTTACAGATGCAGGCATCAACACAAGAGGAACTATATTCTATAAGTCAGTTCACCTTCTTTCTCTTCCTGCTTCTTCTCTTCTCGTTATCCTCCTTCCTTCTTACAGCTCCTCATATTCATCTTCCTCTTACTCCATATTCTCTTCTTTCTGCTCTCATATAAATCTGTACTGCATTTCACCCAACATATGATTGGCCATGGCCGAAAGGCAGACTACACCGCTGTCCAAAAAGTATCCAACTTTATTTTTTTCCACTGTAAGTAATGCTGCCAGATAGCGAAGTGGTGTAACACGTGTTCGTCACACTCTTGTTTCGCTCAAGATGACAGAATGTTTGGAGCAGCGATACTTCATCAAGCTTTGTCAGAAACTTAGGGATACCCAAGCGGAAACAATCGGCTAAATTCAGCAGGCTTTCGGTGATGATGCAGTGTGGGTCACTCAAATTGAAGAGTGGTCCAACCGCTTTAAAGATAGCCATATGCCAGCAGACAGTGACCAGCGTTCTGGGAGACTGTCAACGAGCCGAAATGCTGATGTCATTGAAAAAGTGCGGACAGTAATCATGGAGGACCGTCGTTTGACCATCCAGGAAGTTGCTGATGTGGTTGGGATCAGCAGAGGTTCCACAAGCACAATTTTAACGAAGGATTTGGGCATGTGAGAGTGGCGGCAGAATTTGTGCCCAAGCTGCTTTCGCCGGAGTAGCAACAACTCCACCTTGAGGTTGCGCAGGACATGCTGGAGAGTGAAAGAGAATCTGAGTTCCTGAAGAGTGTGATTACTGGTGACAAGTCGTGGGTGTATGGATATGACCTGGAAACCAAGGTCCAGGCATCACAGTGGAAGCATCCAACATCCCCAAGGCCCAAAAAAGCACAACAGGTTCGGATCAATGTGAAGGTGATACTGACTGTTTTTTTCGATTACCGGGGTGCTGTGCATCATGAGTATGCACCACTAGGCCAAACTGTCAATAAGGAGTACTGCCAAGAAGTCCCCTGCCATCTTCATGATGCAGTTCAGTGCAAGAGACCGGAACTGTTGGATGCACGCAACTGGCAGCTACATCATGACAATGCCCCAGCTCATTCATCACACCTGATCCAGGGTTTCCTGGCCAAGCACGGTATTCTGCAGGTTCGCCAGACTCCCTACTTTCCTGACATGGCTCCTTGTGATTTCTGGCTGTTCCTGATATTGAAGATACTGCTAAAAGGCTCCTGTTTTGACAGCTGCGAGGACATCGTACAGAACGCGATGGCGCAGCTGCATGCCATTCCAAAAGAAGCCTACCACAATTGCTTCCAGTGATGGAAGGACCGCTGGGCTAAGTGTGTGGAGTCAAGAAGAGGCCTACTTTGAAGGGGATTAGGTGTTGTAACCACCTAGATACAGAACTTTGTTTTTCCATCCCAAGGTCGGATACTTTTTGGACAGAGTAGTACTCTATGATGATTGTTGCAAGCACTATACGGGTGTTTCTTCCTCCCCCCACTTCTGTCCTGCAGTCATCATCAGATTAGAAAATCTTATTTATTATAATTTTAGACAGACACTGTGTTTGTTGAGTGTATTGACTAGGCTACATGCCAGGGTTTGATTTATGGCATGGGCGAGAGGTTAGTCTCTTAGCATGCTCCAGGTTGGGGCCCATCCAGCCAGTGGGTGCTAGAGCCTCTTTCCTGAGAGTTGAATTGGTAGTAAGCAAGCCACTTGCCTTCATCAAGTGCTGAGGTTAGGGGTTACTTCTGCTGCTACATATCTCCTTTGTGTGTGCTTATTTAAGTACAAGGAAAACTTCACATTTACTTTTCTCGCTCTGTATGGGACCATAAGTTCTTTCTCGAGGGTCTTACGTAATTACAATGTGTTTGTTTGTTATTCAGGTTTATTGTTCTTCTGAGTGGGTTGGATCTGGCCAACAGTGGTGATACTTTGCTTCCTCTTCAGTTATTTGTTGACTGGATTGGCGGTTTCTTGGGGGACATGGGGGAGCAGCAACATCAGGCTCATGCTGTGCGTGTGCTTATAGCTGGTAAGTAATGCAACTCGCTATGATTGGATTGAGGGTTGTTGTGAGTCATTCCCAGAATCATCATCATCATCATCATCATCATCATCAACATCAACATCAACATCAACAATCACCCCCTCCTCTGACTTTCTGAAGTTTCCTCTTGATGATACAGTCATCACTGCTGTATGTATAACGTATACTGATATATAAAATGATACTGAGAGTTTCTGAAAACTAGGAATTATCATATGTGTGTGTGAAGCATAAAATGTGAACCTTGAATCCTTAATTGTTAACAGATGTTTAACAACTATTCTGCAGCACTTAAACATCTGTCATAATTATTTCTATCTGAATTTCATGTTTGAAATATGTAATTAACATAGAGATTATAATAAAATAATGTATAGTGAGACAGCATGACCACAGTTACCAAGTTACCATCACTAAAGTCACTGTGATGACCTTGACTCCATATGCTATTTGTAACAGCTGATGTAACATAGACAAACATAAGGGCAAAGTAGCAACCCAGACAGTTACCAATGTGGGTGCGTATAACAAATAGAGACTTGCTAGTGACATGTTGTTCACAGAAAGTAGGAATATTTTGTGCTGTTCTGTTGGACTATCAAAGCATGGAATAATGTAAATATATATACTCTGTGTCATCACATCTTTCAAAAAGTGTTATATCAAATTTGCTGGATGGCACAATGAATGATTTGTTGTGACAAGAGAAGGGGGAAACTTGAGTTGAAGATGCAACACCAAATTCAGAATCTGATCTGTATGACGATACACTTACAAATACGTGGGTTACTTCAAAAGTCATGGCAACATAATTTTTCCGAAATTTTGAAAGCTCCCACCGGAATTTCCAAATTTGCCGCTAAGAGACAGCAATGTCTGATTTCTAATGATGCCGCTAGATGATGCAGAAGTCCAAGGACAATGAAGCAAGTCCAGTGCGAAGTCAGTGTGATGTCAAGAATGAATGTTAGCCGGCTGGAACAGCATTGTTACGTGAAAATAGCAGTGCTTCGTGGCAGAAATGTGACAATGTTACTCAGAGCTTGTGGAAGCTCTGGGTGATCGTGCTCTACCATACAGACCTGTTGTAAGGTGGATAGAAGCATTCCAACGTGGAAGAGAAGCAAGTGCCGACTTGCAATGTAGTGGACGCCCTGTGTCTGTTCATACTGATGTTTCTCGTGCCATGATCGCCCAGTGCATGGAGGAAGATAGGCGCTGGCCTCTGAAGGAGTTAGAGAGACATACAGAGATTGACCAGGCAACTGTGCATCAAATTTTACGAAAAGACATACACATGCGCAAGATTGCAGCGAAGTGGGTGCCACACAAATTAAACGAGGTTCAGAAGTGGACAGGTTATAAAGCAAGTCGTGTGAACCTCGAACAATATGAAACTGAAGGAGACAGTTTCTTGAATTGGATAATTTCCATCGATGAAACAGATTAACTCACATTTCATTTTTTATTTCATAATCAAAATTGAATTTTTTGAGGATTAAAGAATGAAAAAAAAAGTCATTCTGTAATGTGGAATTTTTCTTGCCTACTATTCCTATGCCCCTTGACATCTACCTGATCTGACTAAGCCAGTCAGAGGGGTATATCATGCCATTTCATGAGTATATTTTGAACTTTCTTCACTGTAACATTTGCCCAAAAAAAATTAGTTGCCATGACTTTTGAAGTAACCCATGTATATCTCAGTCTGTATTTGATGAAGTTTTTATGACAGATTTAATGATTAGTATTTTTTAGGATTTGAATAATTTTTAGTTTTAAAAAGTATATGTATTTTGTTGTCATCTTACCTGGGGAATATAGCCCCAGGCTTAAATCTTTAATTGAAAATTTGAGAGTCATCTTATGTGCCACTACATATGGAATGTTTCCCCTTTTTATAATCTATGACCACAAAAAATGGATCACAGATCATTGTTCTTTGATGCATTATGGTAAGAGATCAACCATGTTAAATGTGTAACTGTATTATGTGTGCCTGAAAGAGAATCAAATCCAACTAGATGCAAGTGAGAGAATGTCCGTTATTTACGTTTGGTCTTTTACATTGCTACCAGTATTTCTTTTGAGATAAACTAATGTTGTCTTTGATTTCTTTTTTACTTTCACTCGTTAAAGTTTTATTGAACTGATACCTCACTGGGAATTGTGGCACATGCCTCAAAACTCCAGCATCCACAGAGTATTGTTGTTTGAATTTCCAAAGAATATTTCTGCTTCAAACATTGTTCTGTTGGATGATCAGCAGTGAAGGTATTTCATGTGTTCATTAATGTCTGTTAAATATGGTACTGTGAAGTGTACTTCATAACAGATCCAGAAATGCAGAATTTTATAAATTGAATGTTAATTTAGGGGCAACAGTAGTGAAACAACTGTTTGATCATGTGGTTATAATTTGCATGTGGAGTAGTGTCAGGAAATTTTTAAAAAGAATATATAACTGTTTTGTTTTTTCCATTTCCTATCATAGATAAAGAAACAACCAAAGTTATTATGAAATTCACTTTGCACTCTTGTCAGTCTTACTATTGAAAAGTTGGGAAAATGTTTTCAGGATGAACAGCATACATTTCACTGATGCCAAAATCTTAGATTGACTGTCCCTCCTATCGACAGCTTGTAGAGCCAGAGAAAGGTTAATGGGTCAGTATGTTTCCTGCTTCAGGTAATTCTGTGAAGGGCTGTGCTGAACACAAGACTCCTTCTTTGCCTAACACTTACAAAGCTAATACTGGAGATTCTGTCATTTTGGATGCCACAAAACTGTTGGATGATTTCCTGGTTCAGTTAGCCGTGAGTATAGAAACTGAAAATATAGATCACATTTCTTTTAACGTTATGTTGTCACATGTTAGTGATCAGACACAGGTTTGAATCAATAATTGGATTTATTGGATGCTTATAATTCATAACTACAAATAAATATAAATCTCTTTAATTTTTCACTTTATAGATCACTGTAACTACAGCACACATGAAGTCTTCTATTTGTTCACTCGTCATCATTAGGTATGAGTGCAGCTCAAGACTGACTAACCTCAGAGTCAGAAAAGAGTTGCTTTACGACTGGCAGTTTACTGCAGATCAGTTCATCTTGGCACCAAGGCCCTTGAGGATCATGACCAGAAATTTTTTTCAACTGAACCCTTGTGGTTATAGTCCTCCACACAAGAACTAAACTGGAAACATGTTTTTTTAAGTTTGTGTTGGATTTCTGTAAGAGGTTTTCTCATGCAACTGACAGATTCATCTAACCATCAGACCCTGTTCCCCATACTTGGGGATCTTTACTGTATTGTGACATGTCAATGCGTTGCCACGGTAGCGACGGTACATTACGCAACAGTAGAGAGACTGTTTTCTGTGGACTCTGTGCCGTGACCGTTGCTATGCAGTGGTTCGGTAAACAGTTTCAACAATAGAGGCTGTGTTTTCTATGCTGTCCATGCTGTGGCTATATAATGAAAGCTGTGAGCTGTAAGTTCAGAGATACCCATGTGGAGGTGGGGTTGAATACCTCCACCGTGACCCTGCGAGTCGTAGGAGGTGACGAAAGGGGAAGTCTCAAATCTGAGGCAGTAAAATATGGCCACAAGCCCCAAGGGACTCAGACCCGAGAAAGATTGCGCTGGCAAGGACCAGCAGCATATGTAAAAAACCAGACCCATCCTCTCGTCAGAGGGGGCACCCCACAAAAACAAGACCGTAACTGTCAAACAGTAATAAAAACCAAGACCTACTGACTGACTGACCAACCATCAGTCGCAATGTTACTTGGACTTGGTAAGTTGAGAGTGAATTGGAACTAGAAGTGACAGTGACAGTGAGTGACAGAGTTCTGAGTTCTCGGTGGGAGACAACCATGGAAAGTTTGTCGGCTTCTGAAGATTTAAAGTGTGATCAGAAGATTTTATTCATGTGTAATATTTCAAGTGATTTGAAGTGCTAGTTCATCTGTTTTAATTGCATTAGCAGGGGAGAACTAATGTGTGTATGACAGTGAATTATAAAGTGTAGATCAGCGATAGCACTGTAGTAAATGTGATTAAGCAAAATTGTAACCAAAATGCCAATCATCCAAATTAGAACCCCTCATTCTCATCACACGTACCACCGTACACATGACAGTATTATGTTATTAAAAGAAATTTCCTGCATTTACTATGTTAGGGTTTTTCTTAAATGCTTTTATGGACTTTGTAGTACTATTCCATGAGGAATGGAAAGAATATGAAATATGACACATGGAATGTTGTAAAAAAATGTAATATTAATAAGCACAGTGCACTATTACAGGTCAGACCTCTCAAACCTGGCACCCTTGGGAGTGACTGGAGCTGGGCCAGAGAATTATTCAAATCACATGTGGTCAATATTTGACAATACCAAAACACCTAAATAGCCATTTTAATAAAGTGTGTTAGCATTATACAGTTACAAGGTCTTGGTACAGTGTTCTTAATTCTTTCTGGTCCCTTTGAAGCCACATTGAGGGACTGTTCGGCAAATTCAACTTGTGCTGGACCATCGAATGCCATATTTGAGAGGTCTAACCAGTGTATAAATGGTTATGTTATTACTTCCTAAGATGGGAAACTAAATAAGTTGGTTTGTTTCCTGTGTAGTCTTCAATTGATGTAGACATCATGCCAGGAGAATTTGATCCATCAAACCACATGATGCCTCAGCAACCACTCCACTACTGTATGTTTCCACAGGTATGTCTCTAGTTTATCTTAGTAGACATAATTTTTTGCTGGTCACGGTAGCCGAACACTCTGAGGCATGTACTGTCTTCGCTCACCGAGAAGTGTTGATCATGGGTTCGAATCTACATGAGGCACAGATGTTTAGTATGTGTATGTGTTTATTCTGTGTTTGTGTTTAGGTAGAGGCCTTGCGACGAGCTGATCACTCATCCAAGGAGTCTTACTGTCGGTAAAATAATCATGAAACTGAAAATCAGAGGCCAGGGCCCAAGGGGCTCTAGAGTAAGTGGAAAATATACATAATTTTCTATCCATCATTGCTTTCATGATTTAGGTTTAGACCTTTGGCATGTTCTATCTTCAAAAAAACCTGTTGGATCCATTAAGTGTTTAATTTAGCCCTTGAATTGTTTCCAGTGACATATCTTGCATACCCTTTTTGGCTTTCTGTTGTTTAGAAACGGTACCATGGTAAGTCATGTTCCATCTGTGGAATTTCTGTTGAACCATGTGGTATGTTTCGCTCTTATGACAGTATTTGTATATAAAGGTGGGAATACACGAGCACGCTGCTGTTGTAATGCAACATAGATCGAACGGGATTCGCGACTTATTCGCTCGTGTGTACATGAACTTTGAACATGCGCAGTGCATGCCTCAAATGCAGCGCAGCGATCTGCGTCCTGTCGGTTTTTCTGACAAACACAAAGGGATTCGTTGCCGCAGTGTGGTAGGGTTTGGTTGCCATTTGTCTCATGAGGCGCGCACACCTCAAACTTGTAGTGGTCAGAAGATATTTTGGGGCTCATAGAGGCATACAAATCATTCCCTGTACTGTGGAATCCCAGAGAAAATGATTATTATAAAAATAACAAAAAAAAGTGACGCTTCCTCGTATTCCATGGTTGTGTGGACGGTGAAGACAGAATGGAACTGAGGTGCTCGCAGCTTGCGCGCCCCATTCAGATGGTTCGTTGCATGTGCGTCGCTTGTTCGAGGTGTACCAAATCACTCTGCGCATCACTTGTAATGCCGCGTTACAGCCGCGGCGTGCTCGTGTATTCCCACCTTAAGGGAGAAGTAAGAGGAAAATAGGGAAAAGAATTGCATAATAAGGAGCTTCATAATTGGTACTCTGCACTAGTAAGGTGATCAGCTCATTGAGGATGAAATGGGTAGGACGTATAGCATGGAAACAGCCAATTGTAAAATGACCCTGCTTTTACCCTGGCAATGACCAAGTCTGCTAGTCAGATTTTTTTTAATAGCTTTTCAGTAAAGTGTGAATATTTCCTTCTGCAGATTATGACTTCTTCTGCATGGTGTTCCATGTTCACAGCATATGATGATCCTGACAGTTCTCTGCTGATGGCATGTGAACCTGAGCAGGTGTCTACTGTACATCCTCCTCTGCTTTTATTGTGATTTTTAGTAACCAAGCCTCCCCATCTGTTCCTGTCTTCTCAGAGCTCCTTCTGTGGTTCCTGCCATGCACTGTTGCCTGTTTTTTTTTCTTCTGTTGGTTGGGTGGGACTAAGTCCCTTGTACTGCAGCCACTTCTGGCCTATTTTACCACCCCCAAATGATAGGTGAGGGTGATTGTGGAGCAGTTGGTGGAATGAAGATTGGCAGGGGAAACTGAAGTACTTGGAGAAAACCTGCCCCAGTGCCACTTTGTCCTCCACAAATCCCACTTGACCAGGGATTGAACCCGGGCCGCTGCGGTGGGAAGCCAGTGACTAACCACTTGAGTACTAACCTATAGTATTCTCTCTTCATTCATTCCTGAGATGACCGTTTATTGTCTTATTTTGTTGTTAATTAATTTACCTTCCTTAAATTCTCTCCAATTTTTAAATTTGTTGTTATTACAAGTTATTCCCAGAACTTCTTGCTTTAGTTATTTTTCTCCTTTCCCAATTTGTCATGACATGTGCCTCAAATTCCAGATTTTCTGAGAATTAGTTGGTCTGGAATGGGGTCCACTCAGCTTCATGAGGATAATTGAGGAGCTATTTCAAGGAAATAGCGGCTCCGGTCTAGAAGACCGAGATCAACGGCCATAGGGATCTGTTGTGCTGACCACATGACACCATCTATCCGCAAAAGTTGGCATTAACTTTACTGACAAGTGGCGGTTGCTTGATTGGTCGGTATAGTGCGCTTGTGGACTATAGGCCATGGAATTTGTTTTGTTTTTGTGCATCAAATTCTGGGTTAATTTTGTTCTTGCTCTTTGATTCTGTTCCAGGCTTCTATGTACCAGACATTACACGGTGTACCAAATCCTTATGAGTGTGAAATTGGAGAGCGACGTATACTTGGGACATCAGGCCAACCAATAGATGATATTGCTCGTTACTGTAAACTTACTGATCCCATTGATATATTACAGCATACTTTGGAATGGGCACATCTTGCACCTACCTGCCCAGACACTCTGTGTAAGTTACTGGTTTCACCAGTACCGTATTTGTAAGTGTACAGGTTCTGTATTTTATGACTTTATGTATGTGATGTTCTGTTTATATTTGCTTTGTACCATTGTATTTACAGTATACATGCCCAAATGACTTCCTTATTTAGTCACCTATTGTTTTAAGGCATGTCATGTTTTCTCATCCTCTCATGAATCTTTCCTGAAGTGGAAAATAGAAATGTATATTGCGAGATTCAAGTTATGTGAATTTAGGGCTCAAAATTGAGCTCTCTGTCACCTTTATATATTGTCGCGTGCCGCAAATCCGGAAGGGATACTTCCATGGAAACGCAATAAGAGTGGGCCATTGCCTAGGAATACCTTAAGCAACAAACGCGTTTCCCCAGAGATGAAAGGACAGCAAAAGGTCCATTGCATAACAGCGGCTAAGACCAAAGGCTTCTACATGGTACGCTCTATTCCACCAGAAAGCAGGTAAAGCAGGTTATGTAAGACTCCAGCTTCAACATCTTGAGGCAGTGGCAGTTTGTAACTGACCTTAGAAGAGTAGCCAGGTTTCAGGTACCTCTGAGGGAACAGAAGACCTCGCCGAGATTAGCGGTGCAAGAAGTAACTACAGTATAACAGCATTGTAAGAAACGTCGTGACGACGTTATAAGTGAATGATAATTGTACTTGGAAGTGTGTAGAAGATTGGCAAATGAACTTATTCACTAAATCAGAGACCCACTTGAATTATTGTCATGTTACCTAGGAAACACGTGACAATATTATAGCACATCTTCCTCAGGTATCTCTTGTATATAACTTTTTGTATATGACTTTCATTTGTTCTGTGTTTCTGCTTTCTCATTTACTTTTCATATACCTGTCCTGTGGTATATTTTGTCTTCAATATGTGCCTCATTTCTTGGATTTCTCGTCTTAAGTCAGTTCTGTGACAACTTTGTTCTTATTTCTAAATGCAGTGCCGGCATGAACACTGTAATCTTTTTTTTTCAAAGTTTCTTTGAAAGCACCATTTACTCTGATTTGTTTTCTATATCTATATTTATCTTATGGTATGATTTATGTACCATGGGTATGAACGGTTTCTGTATGCTGTTGCTGACATCAATGTGTTAATTAACAAAATGTACAGAATGTTCAAGAAAGAGTGTAAGCATTGTAAAAATTTCTGTTGGAAAAGTAAATAGAGCTAGAAGAGTACAATTTTTACCACATGAAACAGCTACTCAGACAGTGTTCTCCCCAGCTTCCTCCATTTCACGCAATTTGACTTGAGCTCCCCTTAGTGCCTGCACAGTGTCCATCTGGTATTCAAATGCCCTGGAAGCGTCACCACATGTTTGAGGCTTGATCCCTTCCACAGAATGTATGATGCGCATCGTATGTAAAACTTGGAGAGTTATACTGTCATGTTGTTAGAACCTATTCTTCTGGCTCTGTTTATTTTCTCAATAGAAATGTTTAAAATGTGTGCACGCATTGTCAGATACATCGTCTTCTTTATAGGTTAGTTTTGTCAGACTGGAGGAGCTAGGATAGCATAGTCAGTATAGAGACTGGCTACTGGATGGTTGACTGAGGGGCCAGAGTGCAAGTCCCAATAGGATAAAGAATTTTCTTTTCTCCACGTCATCCAGACCGGCTCTGGGGCCCACCCAGCCTCATATCAAATGGGTAACAGGGGCTCTTTCCCAGGGAGTAAAGCGACAGGGGCATAAGCTGACCATTCACCTCCGGCTAGTGCCAAGGTGAAGAAAATGTGGATCCATACATCCACTCCCCCATATGCCTTCATGATGTAGTGCTTAATTAGTTAACCACAGAGACAACTTGACCTTATGTTAGATTGGAACTTTCAAATTATGTCAGGTTTCACAATTTTGAACATTGTTCCCCCCCACCCCACATCAGAGCAGAAGAGTGCTGTCAATTTTACATTTGTTTTGCAGCTTGCTACCCATATTACCAGGAGGATCCATTCATAATTTCTGAGTGCCCAGATATCTACTTTGCAGGCAACCAGCCTGAGTTTCAGTCCAAACTGTATGAAGGTAAATGTTAAGTGAATAATAAATGTGCTCGTAGGTAGCACATTTAGCGTGACTGATCAGATACTATATAGTCTTTAACACTGTAAAATTGTGGCTTTGTAATGGAGAAGCAGAGTATGTATGTCTGACACTGGTTCATGTTCTGTGTGGCAGTTTTGGAGCTTTGGCAACCATGGAAAACGTTTATGTCATTAATTACTGGTCAACTAATAAGAGACTATATTTCTTATTGTGGTTTGTCTTGTTATTTAGCGGGTTCTATCAAGTCGTTATGTATTCATCATCAAAGTGGCATCAGGTTTTATAGAATGAGCCTGAACTTAAGTTTTACATTTGACTGGGAAAAATGTGTCTTATTGAGATGTTGAATGGTGCTTATGACAATGAGTTTCTGTCAAGAACAGGTTTTGAAGGCTATAAAGATAACAAAGTATAGAGTGATAATGGAAATGACGTGGATGGCCAAAATGCTGGTAACCAGTGCCTTTAATATTAGTCATATTTTGTGAGTTTCCATATTTTTATGTGTGTTTGTTAAAAGGCGTGTGTTTAAAAACACGTTTATAATTTGCAGGCCCCGAAGGACAGCGAGTGAGGCTTATCTGCATACCAGCATTCTCTAAAGCTCATTCCTGTGTAGTTGTCAACTTGAACAATTTGGACTGTTACCCAGTATGTTTTAGTACGTCAGATTCCATGGACCCAGGACCAGACAAATAAAAGAAAATTCTGTAAGACAAAGGGTAACTTAATACATTTTCTTTCCTGTTCATTGCAGACAGTTAAGAATTCTCTCTATCCCATTGTATCAAGTGTGAATTTCAAGTCCCTTACCTTTAAATGTTTACATTGAGTTTATGGTTATGTTCTATGTTAATATACCATGTGTCCGGATGAAAGGTATCGAAAATAAAAAGTGTGTATCCTAGAGACTGTCATACACACATCTGGTTTGTGTCATCAGAAAGGAAAATTGTGGAAGGTTATTTTTTTTATGCCCTGCTTAAGCACATGCGCTGCCACATTTCAGCCACCATGTTAGAATCACCTGGACAGAGAGATGGCTGGGTTATGAATTGGCATGTGTGGGCCAATCGCTTGCCCTCCTAGGTCACCAGATTTAACCCCAGTGGGTTTTTTTCTTGTGGGGTTATGTGAAGAGCATTGTCTACCAGGTTAAGATCAACGACCTTCAACACCTGAAAGCCCGCATAAGGGATGCTGTGGCTATGGTAACACCAGACATGCTTCAAGTAACATGGAACGAGATCAAATATCTGGATATTTGTCATGCCACCAAGGAAGCCCACATTGAAATTTATTGTGAAAGTTATATACTCAGAAAAACTCTGAGAGTTTCCCTTTGTAATGGTGTATTCCGTATTGAGGGGGTGGGTTTCCCCATGCACTTAGACCGGTTAGTGGTCCATTGTGCGTCCCGCTTTAATTTCTACTGTCTCCATACCCTACCGGTACTGATGCTTACTATCAGCCCCTTTCTGCCAGCGAGGTTCCAACCTCCTCTGGCAGTGGTATCTAATAGTTAGTCCCTTTCCGTCAGAGAGGTCCCCCCTCCTCTGGCAATGGTAGCTAATACTTCCCCCATCTACCGGAGGAATTGGAAACTACTTGGGCGGGAAACGTTGCCTAATTTTGCTCAGAGGTCTCCTAGAGACATGAGGTTCTTTTATGTGCCGTAAATCTACGACACGGGACCTGCAGCTTAAAGTCCCTCCTGGAGGACTTGTTCCCAGAATTTTTCCGCGCTTAAAAATTCCACGACCTCAGCCGGGTTTGAACCCGTGTACCTTGAGTCATGAGGTGGGAACGTTACCCCTAGACTACGGAGGCCGCTAAGTAATGGTGTAACTCATAAATGTGTATAATAAATTCTTTCTGAGGTATAATTATTTTATTTTGGATACCTTTCATCTGGACACTAATGTACAGAGTGAAGCCTAGACACTTTTAAGTTAAATTGTTTCTAGCAGTAGCAGACATGGAGCATGTAATGATTAGCAGCCATGGTATAGATGAGAGGGATATGAGCAACCTGGTAAGTATGTATTACCATTCAGAAAGATTGCTGGATGTGGAAGCTCTCAGAGACTGTAGCACTTTATGAAAGGCAGTTATTCCGTTGGAAGAAGAAGTGCTCGGAAATTAACTGGCAATCCATTTTCGCCTTACAGATCTTACAGTCTAGAACAGATTGTACTCACCTCCTATGATCACAGGATATTCCAAGGAAAGTTATCGTTTTAATATTCAGTCTCCAGGGAAGATGCCTTCATTAGCTGGCTGAGCAGTCTTGAAATACGGCATAAGGAAAATGTGGGAGAGAGCATGGTATCTGTGTGTATACAGAGGATAAAAAAACGAAGGAAACGTTTTAATTCCAGCTTAATCCTGAATCATGCAATCTTGAGTTCATGATTGTTGGCACCATATGGCAGAAAATGATAATACCTTTGTAATTAAAAACTTGTTTTTATTGTGAGATTTGAGATAATGATCATAGTGACTGTGAAGAGTACTGTCTTATGGCATGTGACATTTTGCTGTCAAGCGGAAGTTTACTGACATTTTGAAGGAATATTAATAAACTTCTAGCAGACTGCATGGTGTCACATCTTGAAAGGTTGTTCATTATTTGCTATTATGTACTTTGTTCGTACAGTTACAAAGATTAGGGATGTGGCAATGAAAAGTATCATTACATTGTGATTTTCAAGTGATTTTGTATGTTTTGAAAGTGTAATCCACACTTGTTATTAATAAATGATGAACCACTGTAATTTCCCATATTTGTATGGTAGTTTATCATAAACCTACAGATTTGGTATGAAATATATTTGAGTTGGTTTAAAATTGTGAAGTAATATCTGACCTGGTTCCTAGTTTTGAAACCCCTGAAGTAAAAATTAGTAGATAGCTTTGATCCTGATGTATTGTGTGGGTGTGAAGGCCCAATAGTAATTAAGGTTTGGAGAAGTATATAGTTGACCAACCGTTGTTGACTATACAGTGTTGAAGTACATCTCATTCACCAAGTAAAGTTCCCATTCATGAAATAGGAGGGGTGGAGAGGTTTGAAGAAGAAAGGAAAACAAGGTGAAAATAGAAGTGAGAAGAATAGAAAGTATTTTGTTGTAGAATGATTTCATTCCATTTCCTGTTGGTTGTTTACTTTTTCAAGTGTTGGTCTCCCACGACTGCAAAATGAAAAGGTCAAGTGTTTTAGCCATCTTCAATTCTAATAACTTCCTCTGCAGAGAAACTCAGTGTGCTTGTTTGTTACCATTCAATTGATTTTCCTTTTTAAAAAGGTAATATTTTTTAAGTTTCTGTTACAGTGAAGTCTGTTTGATTTGGTACCTTAATAAATCAAGGAATAGCTCTGAATATAAAGATGTGTTGAGGAAACTGAATGGACATAAAATTGTGTAAATAAATAAAGTATGGATTTTATTGTTGATGATCGTTTCTTTGAGGTGATGCCATATTTGTAATATGAAATATTAAGTAAGGTGTTTGGACAGTACAGTCTGTGATCATTGATTAGAATACAGGAAAGTATGTATTCATCATAGAGGCTTTTGGTACAGAGTTATGGTTTTGAAAGTGGATATGTCGTGGATCCATTTTCTGTTCTCAGGAAGTATGGACTAGCTTATTTCCTGCATCATAAACTTTCATTTCTCCTTCATCTACTGTAGGTACAAATCAGTTTCTTTGTCTCGTAATACCCTTGTGCCGAAATCTTGTGACAAAAATGTGTAACTTAAAGCAACACAGATAACTTAAGATGCTGTAATGAAGAAAAACTCTGATACTGCATGTGGCATAGTCACTATACTAACAGCTTTGCTGGTTCCAAGGAGGCAGTGGCTTGGTAAAAGGCTTTTAAACATGTTCTATTTGTTTTTGACTTCTTCATGTTGAGCTGTACTGAAGTGGTAAATATGAATTAAAATAGGACATTTACTCGAATGTTATTGGGTATGTAATTTTTCCTTTACACTTTGTTAATACACAAGTATACCGCAGTGTAAAATGTCTCTAGTAAAAGATGTTCTTAATGATGGCTTTCATTTTTGTTTTGCACCAGTTCTTTGATATGCTATTTTTTTTTAGAAAATTTAGGCCAATAGTAAGTATGATTTGAACTTGATGTAAAGTATTATATTTGACACAAATCTTATTCGTTCAATATCTTCCAATGTAGTTCCTCAATATTCATTTTAATTTAAATCAAAAATTTTGGGGGGATAAAATATTTGTACAAATAGGTGCATGTTCTGTATTATGCATATTGTGCTAAGAAGTCTTAAAATGAATGACTAGTATTCATAAGTCTTCCTTTTCTTTACATTTTTTTGGTATAAGCGTTAGTACAGCATAGGCCGAAATCAGAAATTATGTTTATTATAGAGGTTGGAAATACAGGGGTAGGGATGGAGGTTTGATGGGTAACCCTCCCCGAACGTTCTCTAAATGTACCGGCGTTTTCCTTCCCTCCCAGCATCAATTGGAGCCAGGATAGCATAGTCAGTATAGCAACTGGCTATAGGTTGGATGACAGAGGGGTCTAAGTTCGAATCCCTGTATGGTCAAGAATTTTCTCCACGCCATCCAGACTGGCTCTGAGGCCCACCCAGTCTCCTATCTAACGGGTACTGGGGGCTATTTACCTGGGTGTGAAGCTGACCACTGACCTCCAGCTAGTGCCGAGGTGAAGAAAAGGTGGATCCACGCCCCCATATGTCTTTGTGGCGTAGTGCTTAATTAGTTAAGCACAGGGGCAGCTGTACCTTTTACCTGGCTCCATAGCGATCACGTGATGTGTTTTCTGTAGGTCCCTGTCCGTGCCGCGTCTGTATAAGTGCGCAGAATTCCTAAGCTGAGCAGTCTTTATTCAACATCTCCAAAACGGTGGGCTTTCTCCTAACTACACAGAGTTACAATGCAGGAGACCGTACGTTTCAGTCAACGCGAGAGCCCAAACTAGTCATTGAAAGTTTTCGGGTAATCCGATATATCGGTCCACTTTACTTACGGAGAGAAATTTACTTTTACCTGTATATCACAACTCTGTCACCAGATTTTACAAATGGATTTTATGTAAGCTCAATAACCTGAAAATTACGCCGTTGCAGAATTTTGTGTTATCGGCACATATGAGTGCCGAAGTTACAAAAGATGCGCTATGTTTGGTCGGCATCAATCAAAATTTTAACCACGTATTTCGAGGTGGAAAGAACTTGTACAGTAAAATGAGTGAATATGAACACTCTTTAGTTAATACTGGTACACTCACGAAAGAGGTTGCCCAACTTTACAAACGAACATTTGTTAAAATCTTCCAATGACAGGTAACGTAAATGTGAAGCTATCCCTGTAACGGGCCATGGAGGCCCATAGGATTTTTAGACGACCAGGCTTCCACATTTTCTAGACAATCGGCTCACAGATGGCAGTGAGGTCAGCCTTACGCTCCGGCCGCCCTTTACTCCCAGGAAGATTCCTTGTACTCATTTCTTTTAGAGGTTGAGTCGACTCCAGAGCCATAGTGCGGCTGGAAGAATTAGGACAACTGAAAACTCCAATGAGTTAATCGGGAATCAAACCCGCAACCTTCCGGCTTGTAGCATAGTGCCTCAACCATCTGCGATACCGCTTGCCCCCTTCTGATGACAGTAATTACAATGTTTTCAGAAATACTCGAATTAGACTAAAGATTTCGAAGAGGGTGAATGTAATGATTCAGAGGCGTATTCGTATATCCTATGAAATAAAAATTCTTCCGCAATATTAAAGGTGTCTCTAAAGACGTGTTATTGAGTGTCACTGACGTACAATTTTTAAAATTTTTACAACTGCACCATGTTTATATGAAACCAATCACTATACTACTATAGCAGTGAAGGAGCCATGCCGTGTACAGCGGAAAGAATACTTCCCCGTCCTGTCAACCAATTAGCGAACACAATGTCGCCTGTCGTCAGTGGTATGTTTATATGTACTCAATCCGTGGCTTTTAGTCCGCAAGCGAACTTTACCGACCGAGCGACCGCCGCTTGTCGGCGAAGTTAGTGCCAACTTTTTGCGAATGGAGGGTGTCACGTGGTCAGCGCAACGGATTCCCACGGCCGTTAATCTAATTTTTTTAGACCAGAGCCGCTACTTTTCCATTCAAGTAGCTCCTCAATTATCCTCGCGAGGCTGAGTGAACCCTGTTCCAGACATACTACTTCTCAGAAAATCTGGTAGCGTCAGGAATCGAACCCGGGACATCTGTATCTGTAGCCAGGAACACTGACCACTAAACTACAGAGGTGGTCACATGCACTCCATAGACATTTCAAATAGAGTGTGGTGATGCAAATTTAAGGTGTGATCAACATTCTGTCTGCATGTCACGTAGCGTTATCGACATATGTGTTTTCATACAACACCACCATGTCCACTCGAGATGATTATTATAATCGATAATAATAATAATAATAAGTGGAAAAAAGTAAAGCTATCCCTGTAACAGGTCGTAAAGGCCCATAGGGTTGTGAGACGTTGAGGGTCCCACATTATCTAGACAATCGGCTCAAAGATGGCGGTAAGGTTGTCAGCCTTACGCCCCGGCCGCGCTTTACTCCCCAGGAAAATTATTTAATTAATTCCTGGTACTCATTTCTGTTAGAGGCTGAGTCAACCCCAGGGCCATAGTGCGGCTGGAAGGATTAGGTTAATTGAAAAAATTCAATGATCTCATCAGGACTTGAACCCGCGAACTTCCGGCGGGTAGCATAGCCCCTCAACCAACTACGCTACCGCGTGCTACCGTTTTCAAAATCGAGGATTGCTATCTTCTTGGGATATGACGCCATGTAGTCCCATAGTTACTAACGTTCCGAAGAATCCTGCTACCTCCATCTTGAATTTAACCCAATCCTCAAGATGGAAGCCCATCAGACTACACTGCGTCTAATCTCAGAAGACAGCAATTTTCATATTCATAGCCGAGAGAACCTCAAATTTCACATTTTCTTAACAGTTGATGCTTGATACAGATGCTGAAAGGGTCAAACGGGGCATTACCTATTCGGACATTTGAAATGTTTGTATCTCGGCTAAGAGTGATTCCGTGCTATTACTGGATACTATTTCAACTGTACTGCATCGCTGACTACGATATGGCTAGATGATTGGTATCGTGTAAGAAGCAAAGTGGCGCATTCTGTTGAAACACTGCAACTTATATTTATTAGTTTATAAGAACGAGCCGATCCTGAGGGCATGCACTAGAGCACTAGAGTTTGACTTGAGGTGCCTTGTGGTGTGTAGGCGTAGTGAGTGTTGTGCAGTAATATTGTTTTGTAATGTAGATAATGTATGATTTTGTGAATGCAGAAGCCAGATCAAGAAAGAACAGACCCACACATTGCTGCATTCATTGCTGTGCTATCATCATCATCATGGATGATTAATGATGGATTAATATTTTGGGGGAACTCTTCACATAGTGTAATAATTTTTAAAATACAAAAGAATATAATTAGAATCATTACAGGATGTAGAAGTAGAGATTCATGTAGAGAATTATTTAAGAAATTAAAAATTCTACCTCTTCAATCGCAATACATATTATCGCTTCTCTTATTTGTTGTTTACAACAAAGATAAATTCAAATTAAATTCTGATGTCTATAACATGAATACTAGACAAAAATATAACTTCCACCTACCCTCATCAACTTTATCAGTATATCAAAAAGGAGTCTACTTTACTGGCATAAAAGTGTT